CTGATGACGGTTGGGATATATTTGAGTTTAATTATCTTTTAGTACTGTGAATGATGTGTGTGATTATTTATATGATAAGGTTATCCTAGAATCCTATTAGAAGTATGTTGTAGCACTTATATGCTTGTGTGACATATTAGTGATGGCCTTGAGAAGTTGATGGTGTAGATGACTACGTTGAAACTCATAGGGGTTGAGATGTGGATAAGTTGTGAGTTGAAGTTATTGCACCATGTAACAGAGGTATATGGATGGTCCTACTTGGTATATCCGCGATGGGGGGACCCTACATATTCAGGGGTGATCATGCCTGGTATATCCGCGTTAGGTGATCACCGCCTACACGATTATGTTGAAACATAATGATGTATTTGATGGATGAAATAGAAACCTTGATTATCATGTGGGTTGTTATGTAGCTTGAATTGAATAATTCATGCTTGTCAAGTCCAAATGTTTGATTGAGGAATGTTATGCCTTTTGGCTTGAACGAATCGTGTTATATGTTGAGTTGTAGAGATGTTGAACTACAAATGGCTTGATCCCTATTAAGGGTACGTAGGCAGTCTAACGAAGAGATTAGATGCAGCCATAAAATATACGCAAAATTATTATGCATCTGGATCTTGAATTATATTTTGTACATATCCAAAAGGCGGGGTATGTTGAGTTACGGGCATTTAGGGACCTCACGTGTCAATCTTGGACATATGTCGGAATCAGGGCGTGACAATCTTTAACTATTTTATTCTTTTGTTTTTGTATTAAATTCTGAAAATAGAATGAACAAAAACATGAGCCCAGCAAGTTGAAACCACTGCACAAAGCACCAACCAAGTTGAAACCACCATTTTCCTCATCTCTTATGTCAATTCCTTCCCATTCGAAATCTTCATCAAACACCATAGACCCATTACAATTACCTTAAGAAACTTTACTCTCTTTCTTTTTCTCTCATACCCAAATATAGTCGCGGCAATCCGTGTGGAACTATGCTCAGTTCATCTAATTGACGTGGTTTTGATACTCCTCTTCTACAATTAGTCCTCTACTTGAGTTGTAATTGCAAAGAGCGACTACGAGTTCGACCGAGGATTTTGATACTCCTCTTCTACAATTAGTCCTCTACTTGAGTTGTAATTGCAAAGAGCGACTACAAGTTCGACCGAGGATGTTGCTCATCCTCATAATCTTTATTAAATTAGAGATGGAGTTGGCTAATGGTATGAAGAGGGTTGCTTGCCATCGAGTGGGTGGATGTGTGGTGGTGGCTAATTTTCTTTGTAAGGGATAGTTTAGGAATATCAGTGGGTGGAAAATGAGTATTTTTCTTTTTTACCTTTTGAGTGGGGTGGGAAAATAAGATAGGATGGGGAAATATAATTGTGGGATGGGTCTGGCAGCTTTCAATTTGTTTTTTAACAAAAATCGAACTTAAGCTTCTTATTTATAAATAAAGAAAAATAAACTACACTATAGTATATAAGTGGCAATCTCCAACTTTTTTGTTCAGCATCGTTACATCACATTTCTTGGGTGAAACCGGAACCAAAATTGATTTTTTGGTTCAGTTCGATATGATTCAGTTGCAGTTCAGTTTCAGTTCGATGTAGTTCAATGTAGCGTGGTTCAGTTGCAGTTCAATTCGATATGGTTCAGTTTCAGTTGCGGTTCGATATGGTTCGGTGGTTTTATAGCTTGAATCGCAATAAAATTCATTACAACTCGGTTCGTTTTGGTTTCGATTTCAAACCACTTTAAAATCTAAATGCGAAGAAAATCTACAATTAAACAGAAACAAATCGGTTTTCGAAACAGTTTTAGAGTGCATAAAACTTCGCAACACAAAAATGTTGCTAGAAAAATTAAATAGTAAACAGTGGCAACATCAAATGTTGCAGTAAAATTTAAATAAAAAATCATCATCAGAATGGAAAGTTGTTCTCATCCACAGCAAGATTTTCGCTGTGTAGGAAGGTGTCCTAAGATTATTCCATTTTTCATCACCTGAACAATTTTTATTTTCAAACCATCAGAACAATCACAAATATAACATACAATAAATCTTAATTAATATTTAATTCAGATTCAGAAGTATATCAATTAACATCACTCGATAACAAATATCTCAGATCAAGTGTTGGATAATTTGATTTCTTCATCCCAATCCATCATTCCCACAACTAAATTCACAATTAAAACATAATAAAAAGATCGAAATTTAAAAAAAAAATATTTAAAAAAAAAAATTAAAGTGGGAAAAAAGGGGAGAAATACTCAGTGGTGGCTAATAAATATTAGGTTCGATTCTGCCGGCAAGTTTCCTCAACCTTACTCAGAAGAGGGAGCTTGGTATCCTCATAGCAATCCCACCTTTTCTTTAATTTCCCACCGAAATTTTATAAAACTAAACAAAATAATTAAAAACAAATTTAAAAAAAAACCAAATCATAAATTGTTTTTGGAGAAATAAATATTAAAATTGAGAAGAAAAGAAGAGAAAGAGAAGGCTCAGTTCAGCGGGGTTGTCGACACGCAAACATTCTCTGAAAAGAGAAGCCTACAATCCGGTCTGTTGAGCTTGAATTTCATTGGGTCATCACCGCCAATCTCCTTCTCTCTCCATCTCTTAAACTTTTTGCTACCAAGAATTAGATTTCTGCCCAAAAAATGGCGATCGGGAGTATCAAAACAGAGAAAAAGCAAACCCTAGAAGATGATAGGGCGTTGCTGGGTTGACTGGAGAGTGGGCGTCTGCCATCGTTTTATAGAGATGGAAAGAGCTAGGGTTTTGAGGGAAACACGGGATTTCAATGGGCTGAAGTTATCAACTAAAGCAATGAACTAGGCTTTGAAAACAAATGGGCTTTCAATGGGCCACATAATTTCTTTTCGACTTTTATGTTTCGGTAACATTTGATATAGGAAGGGTTTCAAATTTGTGAGTGCTTTTTCGGGATTATGAATGATTAGCTTTAAAAATATTTTCATCAAAAGAGTTTTCTGTTATTTTATAAGTATTTTCAAACGAGTTCATAGTTAGTTTAGAGTTTATAATTGCTCGAAAAACTAATTTATATACCCCAGTTTCTAAGACCATCTCCAATGGGAGATGGGAGAAATTCTTTGGTTCGAAAATCGAACCATGTGGCCATACAACCCACACACACAAAATCATCCATACGTCACCCCTCTGATCTTTTCATGTTCACACGGCTCCATTTGTGTTCGAGCCCCTCTTGCACTACACAACGGGTCCACCACCAATGGTGACCCACGCCCAAGACCTTCTCCAATGGCGACGAGAAAACTTGAAAAATGAAAATTTTCCCCACACCTTCTCCAATGCATATATTTTAGGGTTAATAATGTTAGTTTTCTAGTTTTTGGGGTGGGTATACAAGTCTGTTATTGAAGAAATTCTTTGATCCAGAGACCAGATCAGGTAGCTATATGACAAACAGACACACACACACACACACAAAAACACCCCTACCCCATGGCCACCTCATTTTTTTTTTACTCAAACCTAATTCCATTGTGTCGCATCCCCTTTCTCACAAGGTGAAAAGTCCACCACCAACGGTGATCACACCTTAGACCTTCTCCTGCTATTGACCAGGGTAAATTTTGAGTGGAAATGAGTCGGCTTTTGCCCATTTGCGAAGGAGAAACGCTGGCCCCGCGCGCATATTAAAGCCTTTTAAGTGAAAGAGTAATGTTAAGAAGACTAAAATTGCAAATTATATAATGTGTCACCAATAGAAGTGAGCATTTATATCAACGATTAATTAGTAAGCTAATCATCAACATCTTTATTATTTTGTTTCTAAAATTTAGTCTTTCTAATGTTACTTTTAAGTGAAATCCATGTCGCGCGCGGAGCACAAGATGCAGATAATTAAAGGTCTAGATTAAGTGAAAGTTGAAATCCTACGGTCAGTGGCAAACATACTGAGGTATGATCACACGTGACGCAGGCCCTTGCATTCAAAATTTTCTTTGTCGTCACGTGGTCTTTTGGAGCACAAGCACGATCCCTCCAATTCACAATTTTTTTCATTCTCATAATTTGATTTTTTTTAAGTGAAAATGTTTGTAAAAAAAAAGGATTATATAAAAATGAGGGGATATTAAGGACACTAAAATTTCAAACTAATTTTTATAAATTATATGACGTGGCGATTGATATTTTACTACTTTAAATCGTTAAAAAAAAAGTAACTATCAATTCACATTATGTAGTTTACAAAAAAATAGTATAAAAAAATATTTTTCAAGAATTAACACAAAATTGTAAACAAAAAATGAAGATAAATAAAAATTAAACAATTTATAATATAAGTCCCTTATTATTAAAAGAAAAAATTAAGATCATTTACAATATAAATGTCACATTATAACACTTAAAATGCAATTGATGGATGATGTGCCAATCTTAAGTCTTATGCCAAATTTTGTGTTTCTCCAACCAAATTGTCAATATTATTTTCTTATTAATATAAAGCTTTAAATGGTTATATTTATTAAAAAAATTGTTGAAACAAAATTTTTATTGATCGAAATGGTAGTGGAACAAGAAATCTCCCACTAAACTAACAAAAAATAAATTGGAAATTGATGTCAAATTTATCTCCTAATCATTAAGACTTTAAATTCAATCAGCAAATAACTAAAAATATGTATTTTTTTCCTAACCATTGGTGATGGTCTTATAGCCAAAGTAAGTGATAGAAAACATTGTTACAACTTAAAAGTGCTCTAAATGTAACCACTAAGGGTGGCTCGGTGGTAGAGAATGAATTTCAAGCTCATATTCCACACGGCACGTCCTAAATTATAAAACTGGCGTTGAAGAATCGCACGATTGTAGCCAATGGAAGGCTGAAATGCCTCTATGAGTCTTTATGGCCCTTGAAAGTGGATTGCCGTGACGAAGCCACTAGTTGGTCTCTAAAAAAAAATTAAAAATAGTGCTCTATATATATTAAGATTGTCTCTTAGCTTCGAGCAAGAGAAAAAGTGTACAGAGAATTTTATTTATTATTCAGAATACAAATTCAGCTGAATCTGTTCATATCACATCCTCTTTAGTTCTTACAATACCAACTTGTACAGTTTTCTCCCGCAAGTTTAGAACATAATTAAGAATACGTTAACAGTAAACAATCCTGCGTAATAATAACAGTAAACAATTAATAAACCAAGTTGATTAATACTGGCCTTCAAGCATTAGATTTTGGTTGACGACAATGACGACCTAGGAACAATGATGGCCTTGAGAGGGTTCTTCATGATAACCGTAAAAGCAAACGTCTCAGTCGGGTCCGGCGGGGAATCTGGTACTGGCAACCATTTAAAAGCGTGCACCATCCGGGCAAGTAGTAGGTTTATATGCAGAGTTCCTAACGTCCACGCCGGGCAGATCCGCCTGCCAGCTCCAAACGGCACCATCTTCACCCCTTTGGTCCCCGTCACGTCCACGTCAACCCCGTCTCCTCCCGCCATGAACCTCTCCGGTAGGAATTCACCCGGGTCCACCCACATCTCCGGATCCTCAGTCACCCATGCAGTGTAAAACTCCACGCTCGCATCCGCGGGCACGGTGTACCCGCCGAGCTCCGTGTCCTTCACTGCTGCGTGTGACAAGACGAAGTGGCTTGGTGGGTGACGCCGGAATGTTTCCTTCACCACCGCGGAAAGGTAGCTCATTTTCTCCACGTCACTCTCAGTGATCACCTCTTCGTGCGGCTTTTGTTGATCTGTGTAAGGACTGCGATCCGTCCCTACACAATCAACGATTTCCTTGTAGAGCTTCTCTTGAATTTTTTGGTCCATCACCAAATGAAACAAAGCCCACTCCAACGCAGTAGCACTCGTATCCGTCCCAGCGTTAATGACTTCGGAGACTAGCGTCACCAGCTCCTCCTCTTCCAACCGCCTGCGGCCTCCGTCTTTTCCTCTTCCGGGCACCTCCAGCTCAAACAAGGAGTCAATATAAGCTGCGCCCTTTGGACTCACCATTATCTTTCTAACATTTTCATCCTCAACATTATCACTTTCAAGAACAAATGCTTTTCTGTCTCTAACAAGTGGAACCAAACACTCCAACTGCCTCCTCCTCAGCTCTTTCGCCTCCCCGACCTGCCTGCGGAACAACGGAGTCAGCACTGGCAGGAAATCGGGGAGCTTCGGAGTTGTCATCATCATAACGTCTTTCAACACGCTCTCGATAGTCTTGATCTTCTCGTCGGAGATTTTCGCCCCGAAACACAAGCATATGAGGATGCTACAGGTGGTGAGCCGGCATTCGCTCATCACATGGACAATGCCGCCGTCGGACTTTAACAGCCTGTCCATGTGGGATTTGATAGCCCAGTTTCTGATCCAGCTGCACTGCCTTATCCTCGCTGGGTTGATCAACTCGGTGACGAAGTTTCTGCGCAAGGTACGCCAGAGAGGGCCGTACTCTGCGGAGTTGATGGCGCACTTTCCGACGCTGAAGAGGAGGCGGATGGGGGAGTCAGCAGGGCGGGACGCAAACTCGGGACCTCTCTGGACGAGAGCCTCGTGGATGAGGTCGGAGCTGGTGACGATTATGAGAGTCCGCTGCCCCATCTGCATGGTAAAGATTGGTCCGTACTTTGCACGTAAGTCGCGGACGACGTAGATGAAGTGCCGACGTTGAAGGATGACTTGGATTAGATTTCCCACTATTGGCCACCCCGGCGGCCCCGGCGGAAGGTTCTTACGCCCGCCTCCAGACCAGTAACGCCACCATAGCCGGAAAAACACAAGCACCAAACACACCAGAACGACGTCCATCATCACCCCCTCCATGGATAACCCTAGCTTAGATTATCAACTTCTCTCTCCGTAACCAAAATAAATTTAAAAGCAGAGAAAGAGAGAGATGATTAGGTTGATGAAGTTGCTGAGTACTTTATATAGAGAAAGTCCAGTGGCATTTGTTATTCGCGTGGACAACACATTCAAAGATTGAAACCTATGGATGTGATATATCCTAAACCTAATATACTGGATAATTTTGCTATACATCATAAAAGCATTAACTGCTGTAATATTTATGGATTCACCTACTCATCTTTTGCCACCTGCTTCCGCTCCAATGGTCAAAACTGTGTCACGTGTTCTTCTGCAATTGCTTTGTTATACTGACAAAGCAATGAATTTGATTAGCTGTGGCTGGTAAAGGGCAGGGATTTTTACAAGATACTCTGCATAGAACGATTAAATTTGTAGATTTGTAAACTAAATGACATAAAAGTTGATGGTTAGATTACTACTAAAATATTGACATGCTCAATTTCTATTAGTGATACGTTCTTTGGTTTGCATTACTCTTAAGTGAAAAAATGATATAAATTTATGTATCCCTCTCTTATTTTATGATACCTAAAATACTCACAAGCATGCCGCCCCTTTGTAAAATTTGTAAGTAAAAGAAAAACGGATTCATGGTAAAATCCTTACATGATGATGCATTATTTTTTTTACAATTTTTTTTTATGATAAAGGGTATAATTCTTTTGTCGGTAGATTGGGGGATTTGAAACATGACTAATGCTTTTTTGAATACCACCTTAAAACACTATCACTTACCAACTTTTATGTCGTGTAAGTCCAGCTAAACACTACAGAAATGAGTTATCATTGGGGTCAAATGAACATTTTTAATATGAAAAAGCAAGACATAATGTTATCTTCAACTGAGAGGATTAAAGGTTCAAAAATTAAAAATGACTTGATTTGTCTAAAAATTCATCGTCAACTAATGACTAAGCTATAATTCTATGGATCTCACTAGACGATTATTGGCCAAAGGGCTATCAGGCTGGCCAAATATAGACCCCTATTAGCTCTTTTTGAGGATCTAGCTCCTCAGTTATAATAATTGATTCAAATTAAACAACTAAATTTGAAAACTTGCAACAGTAGTTTAATTAAATTAATCAATAAATTTAAAGTATAAGGTTTAAAATAATAAATTATTAAGGGGCTATGTTTAATCCTTTTGATTAAAAATAGTATATGAGTATGGTCTGACATCGTTTATCAAAAAATAATTCTTTGCAATACTATAATTTTAGATGGGACTATGTTTAGACTTTTATTGGAGATGGCCTAATATGTTGGATAAAGTTTAAGTTGATATCATGTAATTTCTATGGACACCAATTAATCGTTGTTAGCACGATCAACTTTCTATATGTTAAATTGTTATGCACTATTTGACCGTTTTGTTTCATACCACACAAAACACGGCCAGAGATCGGTAGAGTGAATTTTCCAGGAAGAGAGGAAAAAAGCGTAAGAGTACAGTAACTCAGCAAAGGAATACAAACGTCTGTAGGGCACGCTTTCCATCCACAGGCCTCATTAACATTTTAACTTTTGAGACTGCACTACGCGTCTCCCTTCTTGTTAGAGTGCCCAAGTAATTGCGTCTCCCTTCTTGTTAGAGTGCCCAATTAATTGCGTAATCAGACTGAAGTACTGACCTATGACTTTGTTCATGGCAGAAGAAAAAGAAAATAAAAGGACAATAGCATATATGACCACTTGCGGATCCATTAGAGCAACTCCACCGTGGTGGATTGCTCGGGGGACAGGCCAGAGAAAAGGGCCCGAGGCCCTGTGGATTTGCTCTAGCGTGAAGGAGCCCGAGTGGAGGTGGAGGCCCGAGCCTTGGGCCTATGAAGAATTGCCAGCCCGAGAGCCCGAGTGGATGTGACGCCAAGGCTGACGTCAGCCCGATGTCAGGCCCTTTTTTTTAATTTTTTCTGTCAGGCGCGTGCACCCCACTCGCACGTGGAGGCGCGTCGGCCGACACATTTTCAGAAAAATCAGCCCACTTTTTAGACTGAAATGTTACCGTTGGGAAGCCACGTGGCTTCCCATGGTCTGTTCGATCTCAACGGCTTTTTAACTTGGACCGTTCGATCTCAACGGTAAAAAAAAATTTAAAAAAATCTTATTTAATATCAACCGTTCGATATGAGATTAACAGTCGATATTAATATGCTTTATAAAAAAAAATTAAAAAAAAAAGAAAAAATAGTTTTAAAATTAAAAAAATTTACCGTTATGACACGTGACACAATCTGGAGTATTGGAATTCAATTTTTTTAAATCCAACGGCAGAGATTAATTATTTGAATAAAAAAATTTAAAAATTGTAAAAAAAATCCGAAAAAATATTAGAAAAAATTTAAAAAAATGTTTCTACTTTTCTAGAAATACCTTCTCATTATCATCTACCTTACACCACAATTTCATATTCTCAACTACTTTCAATCACATTCCTATCTTTCTCTCAAAGTTTCAATCCTTTTTTTTTTTCAACAAAATGACTACTGATGCAGGTACGAATTGGACGATTTTTGAAGATGTTGCATCGTGTACTAGCTGGGTTGAAATTACTCATAGTTCGTGTACGGGTAATGAGATGCAGTTGCGAGAAATGTGGAGTCTTATTCATACAAATTATCTTGAAAAAATGGGTGAGAGTAGAACCAAAGAATCGATGTCTAGTCGTTGGAAATTACTTAGCCAATTGTTTAGTATTTGGAGAGACGCCTTGAATAGAGTATTTTATGTTGTTTCCAATTTATTGAATTTAATACTTTATTTAAAGTGAGAGTAAATTTATTTATTATGGTAATATATTTATACTATAAGAGAATCTTTATTCAAATGACATAAACACACCAAATAAAAAACTCACGAAATGAACTAAAATAAGACGCACCAAATAAAATTATATAAACACACCAAATAATAAAAAACTCACTAAAATAAAACACACATAAACACACCAAATAATAAAAACCTCACTAAAATAAAACACACCAAATAAAATTACATAAACACACAAAATAATAAAAACCTCACTAAATGAACTAAAATAAAACACACCAAATAAAATTACATAAACATACCAAATAATAAAAAACACACTAAATGAACTTAATTATCTTCAGCTTGTTTCAATGCTCACTAGTGCATGTTTGGCCTTTGAAATGCAGTATATCGTTGAATGACCCTTACATTGTAACGTTCATCCCTTTCTAATAGCTCATGTTGCACGGGCTCATCGGTGGCGTCATGAGCTCAATATATACGTGTTCTTGAATTGTTCATCGTGTCTGACTCATATCATCAACAGCTTCATAATCGTACTCATCTTGCACAATCATGTTATGAAGAATGATGCACGTCATCATGATGGATTGAAATGACTCTACATCAAACAATCTGGCAGCACCCCTGACGATCGCTCAACGAGCTTGGAGGATAATGAAACAACGCTCCACATCCTTCCTACACCCATTTTGACAACTTGCAAAGTGTTTTTCCTTTGCACTTCGCGGACGTGGCACTGCTTTGACAAATGTTGACCACCTTAGGTAAATGTAGTCAGCTAGATAGTATGGCATGTCGTACATACGTCCGTTGACCTCATACGTAACTTTTGGTGCCTTTCCTTGCATCGTTGAACACTGGGGATTGGGCAAGGACGTTGAGGTCATTTTGAGCTCCCGGAATCCTGAAAAAGGCGTGCCAAATCCATGTATTAAAAGATGCCACCGCCTCCAAAATGATACTTTTTGCTCATTTTCTGTCTCCATAAGCGCCTTGCCATGCACTTGGACATTTTTTCCACGTCCAATGCATAAAATCAATGCTCCCAATCATCCCAGGAAAACCTTGTATCTCGACCTTCTTCAGAAGCTTTTCCAAGTCCATGTAAGTATGTTGCCGGAGGTACTCTGCGGTGTAGATAGATTTGATTGCTATGCAAAACCTCATCATGGACTGAAGAATGGTTGATTTCCCCATCTTCGCTATCTCATCCACTCGGTCTGCAGATGCTCCATATGCAAGTATCCGCAGTGCAGTAGTAATTTTTTGCTCAAGAAGGAGACTCATAGCACCAAAAGCATCATTCTTTTGCACAAAGTAAGAATCATGGTTGCAAACATCAATCATGATTTTTTTGAACAAATGTTGTTCCATTCTAAAATGACGTCTGAAGTACGTATCAGGAAATGCACTATTATGGACAAAATAATCGTCCAACAGCTCCACACCTCGTTGTTGCCTGTTTCTATCAAGGTTTCCGGAATGGGTGGGCCTGCATATCTGAGCCACAGCTTGGATGACTCGACGGGAATGTGAGTCTCTGGCCATTCTTGCTTCGTCATCTCTCATTCTCCGCTCCTCATCCTCTTCCTTATCATTTTGGGCTATATGGAGATTCAACATTCCTTCAGATTGGTTAAACAAGTATTCATCTTCTTGATTGATTTCCCACATCATGCTTGAAGAAGAAGACATTGTAAGTAGAAACTATGAATAATGATACAGATTTTGATTTGGTGAAGAATGAAGCAGCAACTATGAATAATGATAGAGATATTGAGAAAATTGGTGTGAGATTTCAAATGATGGATGATGGATTATATGGAGGATTCTGAAATGATTAAGTTGTATATAGTGCCACGTGGCATGCCGTCATTCGTTAAAAATCTGATCGAAATCTATCCTAAAAGATTCTGAAAAGATAACGACACATGGCACGACGGCATTGGATAAAATCTTATCGAAATCCATCACCAATAATTATCTTTTCGAATAATGACATGTGGCGCAACGAGAACGATTTAAAATCTGATTGAAATCTGTCCTGAAAGATTTTGAAAAGATAATGACACATGGCACGATAACATTGGATAAAAATCTTATTGAAATCTATGACTAATAATAGTCGTTTTGGGTAAATAACACGTGGCGCAACGAGAACGATTTATAATATCTTATCCGAAATTACAAATAAATTTATTTACTATTATTTTGTAAAAAAAAAAATTCAATACTATTTTATTGCCTATTGCCAGGCCTATTCAAGTGAAACGGTTGACATGCAAAAGACAGTTATTGTTCATT